TAAAACTGCTTCCCTGAAATCAAACTGCTACTCACTGGTAAGGCCGGGTCTAAAACCCTAGTGTTCAAACTGAAGTCTGGGTTTTACTCCAATACTCGAGCCACATGTGCATCACCCATAAATGAAAAGACTTATCACTAGGGGATGCTGCCTAGGTCTATTTACTTTTTCTTTAGTGTATTATTACTGATAAAGAAAAAGAGAGACATCTGGTAGAGATGCAACTGACAAATAGGAGCCATACAGAAGTAGGAGCCATCAAGCTTTTGGGCCATTAATATACGCTAGCCTCTCAATTCTAATACCCAACTGATAGTAAGCTATAGCACCAATTCAGAAAAAGGGAGGGAAAACTACATAGGATACATAGACGAAACACGTATATCAATTAGAGAGATGTCAAAATATTAAAATAGCTCTTAGAAGTGAGAAAACAGGGTGGTAATTAAGTGTAAATGATAAAATATAATTTAGACAGAGATTAAAGTTCAGTTGTAGAAGCTGAGGCTTGGACCCATGTCTTACATAAATAATGACAGAGCAGACTGAAACACAGGTATCGATTCTTACTCCAGTGGTCCTTCATCCAGCTCCAGAATTATACGTAATGTAGTCATAATCACAGACAAGCCTAGAAGGCTGTGTGGTTTGAGTCTGTCTCACATAGACATCAGAGAGCCCCAAATCTGGCTGGGAGAGGTGGGAGCCAGAGGCAGTGAGTGACCAAACTGGTCCCAGGAACCCTTTGGCACGATGGATGCAAAACTGTGAAGCAAAACATAATTTCGAGCATCAATGGCTATGGAAATCAGTGACTTCTTTTCTCCTTTTTTGAGAATATTTTAGAATGCAAATGGTTCCTGGTTCCATCACGAGCTCTATAAAGATAATACATCCACTCTGTCTCCAAGCAATATAGGGGTCAAAAGAAAAGGTGTTTTGTTTTGTTTTTTTAAAGCTAACATTAGGCATTAACATGGCTTTACAAAAATAAGGTTGAGTCTTTCCTGTACAGATTCTAGATTCTCTCCATGACATTCCTTTAAAATAGTAAAATCCTGTAATGCAGATAAATTAAGACATGCATGACTAAAATTTAGGAGTATGTCTGTTAAATCAAAATATGTTTGTAAATGACAAGTGCTTTCTTTTATTTGACTAGGACAAAAAGAAACTCAGATCACATTAATAAATACAGGGTTAGATACTGGTCAGGCATGACCTTTCCTCTCAGCCGACACTTCTATATTCTAGGAAACACCAAATTATGGGGGAGAAAAAGGGACTGCAGTAGTAACTAAAGTAAAAACAGATTTGTAGAGGGTTTTTTTTTTGGGGGGGGGGGGATGATGTAGAGTTGGTAAAAAGAATTTAAAGAAAGCTGTTAAACTTTCCCTCATTAAAAATCCTTTGGACAAAGACCCAGGTACTCATTTCCTACTGTTTGCTAGGACCCCTTCCTTATACAGCATGTTCATAGGAACTCAGCCATTAAAATTTCAGGACTTAACTCGTATTTCAAACTTAAGAGCTCCAAATAGAAAGTAGTTTTATGAGTTCAAACTTGGCAGTCTAGCCAAGAAATTACTTTTCAAATCACTGTGTTCTAATGTTTAGAACACCCTAATGATTACAATTTAAAGTGCATTAGCTAGTTTTAATTTTACCTTCTAATAATTTGAGCTTGTGCTTCTTATAGCAATTAAACCCATTTCCTATACCAAGATATGTCAGTAAAATAACTTTTTGCCCCCCAAATAAAAAGTAACTAAAAATCACACTGAAAAATTCAGTTACAGGGCGCATGGGTGGCTCAGTCGGTTAAGCATCTGCCTTCGGCTCAGATCATCATCCCAGGGTCCTGGGATTGAGTCCCGCATCAGTTCCCTCTCTGACTGCCGCTCCCCCTGCTTGTGCTCTTTCTCTGACAAATAAGTAAATAAAATCTTTAAAAAAATTCAGTTACATCCTATATAGAAAACGTCTTTCTATTGCATACAGCTGTATCTGAACTAGAACCCCATGCTCTCTCCCTGCATTTACTTAGTGTATCTATGTAACCAGCTCCACTGGGTCATGGTGGAGCAAGGACATAGGGTCCCTGCATGGAAAACTCAACAATCACAGTGTTCTAGGGCTAACACATAACAGAGGCCTGCAACTCTTGCTCCATGAAGAAGGATTTTGGTGAGTGGAGAAAAAGTAAAGCTAATATATGGTAGGCAAGAGCATAAAATAATGGAATCCCCATGGTTTATCTGAAAGGATTTGCTCTCATAAGCCATGGGAAGGACATTTCTGTGGACGGGGAGCTGTTCAGATGGCATGCATGTCTTTGCAACACAACTGGGCCACTCACGTCCTACACAGAGAAAAATCAGATTCGATCCCAGATTTATATGACCTAAGGGAAAAATGACACATCAACATCCCCACCCACAAAACTCTATGCTCGAACACACAAACAACCTGTGACCACTTCCTTCACATCATATTCTGCTATACCCCCCAACCCTCCTCCACTTCCCCCCAGTATGCACACTGGTATCTGGTTCAAGTACAGAAAGCAGTTCAGTGTCTGAGAAGACAGATGAACATACCGGCAAGAGGACACTTGGAAATGACTTTGAAAGAGTCTGGCTTCAAAGTTCATGGGTACAAAATTGAGCCCTCCTCTTGAAGACTAAGTATCCATAATATTCCTTTCACTCTCAAACTAAGTTGCTTTGTCTTTTGTTTTGTTTTGTTTTTAAGATTTTATTTGACAGAAAGACACACAGTGAGAGAGGGAACACAAGCAGGGGGAGTGGGAGAGGGAGAAGCAGGCTTCCCGCTGAGCAAGGAGCCAGATGCGGGGCTCGATCCCAGGACCCTGGGATCATGACCTGAGCCGAAGGCAGACGCTTAACGACTGAGCCACCCAGGTGCCCCCAAGTTGCTTTGTTTATAACAACGTTTTAAAGTAACATTAGAATGGACATATTTCAAAAAACTAAATACAAGCTATGAAGCTCCATTAACTTGGGAGATTAACAAATTCACTTTCATCAAATGCCTAGTAAGCACCTACTCTGCACCTGCTCCAGGCAGAGGAAATAAATAATAATCCAACAAATTCACAAGAAAGCTGAAGGGATGGGCAAATAACCAAATAGAAAACCAAGTAACAACTGCTCAGGGAACGCAGAGGAAGTGTGCATCCTCCAGAGTGGGCCAGTCTTTGCAGGTAACTTTCTCACTGGACCTTTCTGAAGGATGGGGGGCCGGGGAGGGGGCAGAGAGTGGCTAGGAATGCTGGGCAGAATGTGACCAAAAGGTGCCAGGCATGGGAAGCTCGTTGCACTAGAGCCCGGGAAAAAGAGAGTAGAATGCAGAATGTTTAGAGATTAAAAACTGGAAAATGGGCCGGGAGTTCCCCCACATGCTGGGATTAAAGCGTTTGTGGACTTTACTCTTGGGATATAGGGAGCCCCGACAGGGACGGGGCCACACCTGTGTTTCAAGTTGCCAAACGTTCGGCTACAAAGTAACCTTGTTTCTACAGCAAGTAACTCTTTAGATACGTTTTTCAGTATATGCAAGTTATCGGCAATTATTTCAGGCAAAATGATTTCCCCCACCCTTTTCGAAATACTTGTTTTTACTACTAGTCGCCAAAAGTTACAGCCGTGTTTTCGATATGAAAAACTACAGGAAAAAGTTCCAGCTGGCAAATGCTTCCTCTGACGATCCTACACAGCAGGCTTCCGACCGCATCTCACTACACTTTCATAAAGTTTAAAGTACCTTAAATCTAAAACGGTCCTGATGAAAAGTCACGACCACTGCCCGTGATCAATTCATCTGCCCACTACTCTACGTAAGACCTCCCCGCGAGGATGAATTTCACTTAGCAGGTTTCTAAAAATCATCTTCAAAGAACACACGTCCACCTCCTTAGTAATCCGAGTTTCCCCACTCAACGGGTCGGAAGTGATAGCCCCTGAACGGGGTCGAACGAGCCCAGAGAGAGAGAGAGAATCCATTTCTCCGGTCCAACGTGCTTCTACACCACTCTCGCAAGTTGCATCCCGCCGTCACCACGAAAACACGGTCCTCCCGACCGCCAGGTGGGAGGGACGCCGATACCCATCCCCTCTGGGTGCGCAGAAGGACAACCGCCACTCCGCGAGGACGGCCGGGGACCGAGGGCGCCCGGGGCGAGGAAGGCGAGCCGCGGCCCACGGCCCGCACCGCTGTCAGGAGAGGGACGGGCAGGGCGGGGGACCGGCCCCGGAGGAGACCTGGAACGAGGCTCCAGCCCAAACAAAAACAAGCCCAAGTGGAGCGCGGCAGAGGTAGCAGATTGGGCGAGCCCGATCACGGCTGCCCATTGGAGAAGAGGGAAAACAGAGTCCCCCAATCGCGAGCGGCGGGGCTGCTCCCCTCGTGCGGCCGCGGGCCGCCCCGGCGCTGCCCGGCCCCGCGCCGCCCGGCGGCCGCTACCGCTCCCTTCCGGCGGCGGCGCCCACTGCAGGGCCCGCGCCCCCGCCCGCCGCCGCCGCCGCCGCCCGCCGCCGCCGCCGCCGCGCCCCTCCCTCGGCCGCGGCCCCCCCCGCGCCCCGGCCCCGGCCCGGCCCGGCGCCCCCGCTCCGGCCGGCCCGCCCCCAGCCCGCCGCCGCCGCCGCCGCCGCCCGGCGCCCCCCACGCCCGCGCCGCGCCCGCCCCCCGCTCACCGCCGGGCGCTGCCCGCTCCTCCTCGCGGCGCGGCGCGGCCCCGCGGCCCGGCCGCTGCGCTGGGGGGTCCGCGCTGCCGGGCGGCACTTCCCCGGCCCCCAAGAAAATTAATCACCAAAAAATAATTCCCGAGAAAAATGGAGAGTAAAATCCAAGATGGCGGCGCCGGCCGCAGCACCGCCCGCTCCATCCGCTGTCGGGAAATAAGTCCCAGCCGCGGCCGCAGCCCCCCGCCCCCACCGCGCCGCGCCCCCGCGCCCCCGCGCCCCCGCGCCCGGCCTCACCTCGCCTCTCGCGCGGCCGCGGCGTCCCAAAGGCCGCCTTCGCCGGGGGTCCGCGTCCCGGGCCCTGGCGCCGCGCGCGCCGCCGCCGCTGTCCGGGCACCCTCACCTCATAGCCCCGGAGCCTCGCCTCCCGCGCCGCAGACGCGTCGCCGCCCCCGGTGAGCCGTCCGGACGCCGCCCGGGAACGGTGGAAGGACACGAAAAGGAGTGCCGTCGGCCGGGCGGAGGGACACCACGCCGTCTCGCGCCACCCCTGCCGCCTCTGTTGCTTTTACGGGACTCGCGGGGGGCGGGGGGCGGGGGGCGGGGAGGCGGGGAAACACGGGAAAGAAACGAGTTCCTCGCTGGGTGCTCCCCGCGGCGGAGGGACAAAAAGCGAATTCGGGGAGAGCCGGGGACCCGTCGCCTCGCGCCGCCGCGGCGGAGGGATCCGCGCTGAGGGCGGCAGGGATCCCTCCGCCCCTCGCTGCCCTTTAAATCGCGCTGGAGGCGGCGTCGCCGCGCGCCCCTCGGGCGCCAGCCCGGCTGGGTCTTGGCTTTCGGCGCTGCTGCGCCCGCGGGGCACGGCTGCCGGACGTGGTCGGGGGGGCAGCGCCGGGGACGGGCGGGCTCCCCGCCCCCTGTGTGTGCCGGTGGCGCCGAGGGGGGTGGCCCAACGGAGACAAGGTTCTTTGTTGTGGGAGTGGGTGTCGTTGGAAGCGGATACACCCTGAGAGAGCGTGTGGGCAGCCCGAGCATTCGGCCGCGTAGGTGTGTGCAGGGGGAGCGTGCGCTCACCGGGCCGCTGGCTCCCGGTGTCAGCCGGCCGTCCCTTGAGCACCTACTGTGTGCCTGCCGGGCTTTCCGAGCAACTGGGCGACTTCCGCTTCCCTCCCTCGTTGGGCAGTGCCAGCGCCAGAGATGCAGCCGCACCCCACCCCCACCCCCGCCCAGGACCTGGGCAGGTGCGGAAGATGCTGAGCGTCTAGCACGCTGCAGGTGCTGAGCTGGGGGAAGAGTGCGAAGGGTGCGAAGCACCGCCCCTTGGGTCCCGCAGTCTGATAATGGCTACAAAGTAACAGTAATGAGAGTAATATGTATACAGTCTTCACGGGATGGGGGGCACCGTTCTCTGGGTTTGGGTGCCGTAGCTCATCGACTCTTGACAACCACCCCCAGGAGGTGGGGACCATTGTGGTTCTTCCTTACACGTAGGGAAACAGAGCGATTAGGCGACCCCTGGGACGGCTAGTCAGGGCTTGAACCAGAGCCCTTATCCAGTATTCCCGTGAAAAAAGAAGACCTCCAGAAGTCAAGTTGCCACAGACGTCAGATGCACAGAGACAGTGCCTGAAGGTGTCCCCTTGGGCAGTGGAGACAGGAAGGGTGGGTTGCAGTATGTGAGGAAAAAGGGGTGGCTAGGAAATGTGGGACCAATAAGTGCAAAGTCCTGGGGGGAGGGGGAGGGGGAGCCGGGAAAAGGCTCTGGCCTCTGGAACTGAGGAAAGCCCAGTGTAGCTCCTACAAAGAGGAGGCTGCCTGGGCAGGTGGATAGATGGATTCCAGAAAGAGCCCCGTTTCTGCCTTGGTTTCCCCTGTATCCCCAGGGCCTGGCACAAAATAGGCACACCATAAAGGATAATTCAGTGGAGATTGTGGATGATCACAAGGACTGTGGTCCAACTAACACCAACACACGTGCTTACCTTATTTGCCCTCCTTGACCTTGGGTAGTAGATATGCTTATTATTCCTTCCACATATAGGAAACTAAGGCACGGTGATTTGCCAAGAGCGTGTGTGTGTAACACGCAGACGGGGGTCTAGATCTTCCAAACCAGAGCTCCTCCTGCTGTAGGCACCTGCTTTCCCCACTTCCCCCTCTGGAAGCCAACTCGGGGGGGGGGGGGGGCAGAGTGTGGGCAGAGCCTCACCACCCCTCAAATAAAGCAGACCCAGGCACATAGCTCGGCTTTTACTGGATCAAAATTCACCTTGCCCTGTTCCTCTTGCAGACACAACTAACAAATGATTGCTTTGGTTTTGTTAGTTTCTGATTTATCACTAAACGTTCTTTCCAAGATTTTTATAGTGCTTGGCTCCAAATACTCAAATTACATCCCAGAAACACTGAGATTGCCTTTGCCACCCCCTCCCCCCTGGATGCCCACAGGAGGCATGCACACAAGGGAAACGAGGGAACCCCCCATCTGCCTGCAATGGGCAGCTGCAGCCCTGCGTGGGTTTTGGTGCCCAGGCTTCAAGGCCAACCATGCCTGCACAGCCCTTCATAGCTCCGAGCACCAGTGTCCTCCCCATTCCAAGCTTTCCAGAGGTCACCCCGACACAGATCCCTGGGACTGATACCCAAACCCCGACTCCTATAAAGCCCCCAGACTCCCAAGATGCTGGCACCTCCACTCATTCATGGCCCAGGGCCAGGCCACGTGTTCTGGGCAGTGACTTGCAAGGGAGCAGGCCAGGCCTACAGCCCAGCAGGGGAGACAGATGAGTAGACCCCAAGCACAGCATCCTCTCAGGCTCCCCAGTTCTGGATCTGCCTCTCCTCCAGCCCCTCCCCCCCGCCCGAATTGCTGGCTGCTCTTGCGGCCTCAGCTGAGAGACTCAGGGTGGGCCAGAGCTCTTGGCACAGCTGAGTTGGGGCTCAGGAACTTGATGGAGCCAGGATTGAGGGTGGCTAGGGCTACGCTGGGCAGAGGGCACTGCCCAGAGCCATCCTCCTGGGGGAGCCTGGAAATTTGACTCCCCACAGTGAGCGTGGCCAGCTGGAGGCCTCCTGCTGCCAGCTGGCAGGAGAGGGGTGGATGGGGGACAGGAAGTCCTGTGGCCAGGCACCTGCCCAGCCCCCATGTGACAGGAGCCACTGGCATTTACACTGCGAAACCTCTGGATGCCCCAAAGTGGAAGTGCTAAGCCACAGAGGCAGTAGGGCCCCCACCAGGCCTGGACAGATGGAAAGATATTAACAACTCTAAAGAAAGACTGAGTTGGCGGAAGGGGCCTGGCCAGCCCCGGAAGCTCTAGGAGTGCCAGCCCAGCCTGGAGCTGACCTGGGAGTGGTGCCCTTGGCAGGGCACTGAGCCTCAGCCCTGGAACTGGAACAGGCTCTGTTTCCGTCCTCCCAGTAGGGCCCAGGGGCACTCCACAGAGACTCAGCTTGGTCCCACCAACCCTGCTTCACTCTCTAATTTCCCTTCTTCAAATGCCAAGTTCACCCAGCGACTGGCTGGCAGGGATTTGCTTGGTGGAATCTTGTGCCCACAGGGAGGGCCTGCAGGTCACGCTGACCCCAGAATTCCAGGCTGGGTGGCAGTGGCTTCTTGTAAATTGATATCTGGACTCGTGGACTCTGCACATGTGTCTCACCGGTCCCCCACCCCTGCCCAGAGGACAGGGCTGTTCCGATGAAAGCAGATGTCCAAGACTAATGGGAGAAGGGCAGGGGGCAAAACCAGGACCATTACGGTGACCTGTCTGAGCAGCTGCTTGAGCACCATGAGGCCCCCTGCACCATCCTTGCCTTCACCTGCCCTCACACTGCTCACCTCTCCTTTGATAGATGAGGACACCCAGCCTCTGAAAGGTCAGGTGACCTGCCCAAGGCCGCATAGTCAATAGCAGCAAGACTTTATGGCTACTTTGAACAGGGGTGCAAGTCTGCCCCGGGTTTGAATCCCAGCTCCACGACTTCCCAGCCATGTGAGCTGGGGCCAATGATGTGGCCTGTCTACATACCATCCCTTCAACTGTGAAATGTCCCAGTCCTTGGGTCTGTCCAGAACTCACTCATTATCTTCAAAATCGTTCATCTAGTTAACACCCAAATTCTGATCTCCAGCCTGGCCCCCAACTCTGAACTTCTGACTCCACCACTTAGGTATTTAACAGGCATTTCATATATAGCATGGCTAAAACTGAACACACACACACACACACACACGCTGTCACACACGCACGCACGCACGTTCACATGCACACACCCACCTCTCAGACCTTCCTGTTGCTCAGGTCCAGTAGCTAGCTTTCATTCTCCGTTATCGGCCTTGGTGGCTTTCTCCCCGTAGCACACATCAGTCTGCATTCTGTACCTTTTACTTATTCATCGCGTCTACTGGTTGTCTGTCCCTTCCAGGCTGTAAGCTCCTTGAGGGCAGGAGCCTTTGTCTGCCTTGTTCACGGCTACATCTCCAGCGTCCAGAGTAGTGCCTCGGGTGCTAACGTAACAGGCTCAATACACGAAGGATGATGTTAACCTTCCAAGGGTGCTACTGGGTTAAAGGAGGTGCAAGGGGTTCTCTACCCGCTCTCCTGGCCCTGAGGGCTCAGGCGTGTTCAGCCACGCCCACAAAGCGCACAGACCCCTCCCTGCCCCCCCCATGGCTCAGGCGTGTTCAGCCACGCCCACAAAGCGCACAGACCCCTCCCTGCCCCCCCCATGGCTCAGGCGTGTTCAGCCACGCCCACAAAGCTCACAGACCCCTCCCTGCCTTTCAAGATCAGGGTGCCCTGGGAGCCCGGGGGCAATCAGACAGGTACGGCCTTATGTCCCTGAGGGATGGCGCCCTTTCAGGTCCCCACTATCACCAAAAAGAAGCCCGACTGTGGTGACCCCTGTCCTCACACACGCTTAGAAGTAAACACAGAAAGGACCAATGGCAGCTGAAAAACGCGTTTCCTCAAGGGCAGAAAAAGCTTAATCTTATTATTTTTTAATAATTTCAAATTTACAGGAAGTTTCCAAGTATAATGCAAGGAATTATTTTACCTGAGCTATCTGCCTATAAGTCGCTATCCAGATACTCCATGACTTCAGAGCACATTAGGGTGTATTTCCTTCCAACTGAGATATCCTCCTACAAAACCAGACCCTGGTGATCAAAGTCAAGAAATCACATCCATAGGTTGTTGTCATTGGATCTTCAGATCCCATTCAGATCTTCCCAATGACAATAATAATGTCCTTTATAGCAAGGGAACCCATCCAGAACCTGAGTTCCCTTGGTTTGTCAAGTCTCTTCAGCTTCTTTCTGGAACATTCCTCCCACTTTCTTTGACTTGCATGCCCTTGGCACTCCTGAAGGTTACGGACCAGTTATTTTGTAGTATGTCCTTCAATCGAGGTTTTTCAGATGGTTCCTTATGGTTCGATTAAGGTCAAGGATCTTTGAGGAGAATGTCGCAGGAGCGAGGCTGTGTTCTCATCGCATCCTCTCAGGTGGTGGAGGATTTCAGTTTGCCCCATAACTAATGATGTTCCCTTGGGTCACCTGATGAAGGAATGTCTGCCAAGCTTCTCCACTGGAGAGTCACTTATTTTCCCTTTGTACTAAGTATTCTGTGGAAAGGTACTTTAAGGGGATGCAAACACCGTATTCCTCATCAAACTTGCAATATATTAATATATCTATGTCAGTATGACA